CAGGGGGAAGGGTTTCCAGCTGGCAGAGGGAGCTGGAGCTGAGATGGGAGGGAGAAATTCTGGGCTGTGAGGGTGGGGAGAGCCTGGCCCAGGTTGCCCAGGGAAGCTGTGGCTGCCCCATCCCTGGCAGTGTTGAAGGGCAGGTTGGATGGGGCTTGGAGCAGCCTGGGCTGCTGGGAGGTGTCCCTGCCCATGCAGGGGGGTTGGATGTAGGTGATCTCCAGGATCCCTTCCAATCCAAACCAGCATGTGATTCTGTGACTTGTCTTCAGTGCTGGAACATGTGCCTTTACAGAGCTACTCAGCACCTTTCCCAAACCTCAGAGACCCTGCTGGTCCTCTGGAGTGTTTGCCATTCTCCAGCTCTTACAGTTGATGCTGCAACATTGCCAGAAGGCAATATATTTTCAATAGATAAGTACTTTACCTACCACTTCTCTTTCTTGAAAGATTCTACTTTTACTGCAAGAAGAGCAATTGATTTTCAAGAAAGCTGTCTGTGATCTACTGAAGCACAGCTCATCTCTTTCTTTCGTTCACAGGTACTTCATGAATACTTGTACAGGGCTCCTCCTCTATGAACCTCAAAGCATTTTACAAGGCAAAAGAACAAAAATTATTGGAATTGTATTGCTAAAGCAGAAGTTGCATTAATTGACAAAGGTTTCTGTTTTGTGTTGGTTTTGTGGTATTTTTTTTTAATTAATAGCATTTAGAAGATCAGGGATCTAGTTCCTATTCTATCAAAAAGACCCATATTACACTGACTAAATTTCTCTAATTTCTTACTAGGGAAATATTATCACTTTTCCAGTCTTCATAGTACAGGATGGATCAGCTAATGAGTGGAAAGTGTTGGACTGCCTGATAAAGAACAGTCAAGTAAAGAATTAGCCCCAGCAGTTAATAAGACATGAGAGGAAAGCTCTGATTTTAACCCTCAGAATGTTAATCCACTGAAATATTGCTTTAAAGGCCACTACATCTTCAGGCAAGCAGCCTTGTAAAAAAATGGTCAAAGAAACAGTCAGCTTCTATCTTCTGTATTTAAACACTGGAAAACCAACACAGCAAGGAAAAAATCCCAAGCAACTATTTGGGCACCTCAATCCATTGATATTCTTTAGATCTATAAAATAAATCATACATATAGATAAGCTTTCTATATAATGTATATATACACACACACACGAGATATACACCATAATTACTATTGGAATACTGTAATTTTCTAGAAAAGAGGTATTCACCTATTCTGATGTCCTGAAAGAAGTGCTTTCTCAAGCCTGGAGAGACAGTGACAGGGTGAGGGAAGCTGGTAAAGCCAATCATACTACCTGTTACCTTCACCTTCCCTCTTGCCTTTACTGCTCCTCTCCTCCACCTGCCCCCTTTTCCTCCATCAGCTGCTCTGACAGGTTCCTTTTTTATTTGGCTTTCACTTCATCTTATTTTATGGCTCCTTTCCTGATTATTGTCATTGCTATAAACACCACCAAAAGCTACACTTGCACTTCAGTCACAGGCACCCACAGGAATGGGCAGATATAAACTACACTCCCTTTAATTTCCTCAATATTATAAAATGTTTTCAGTGTATCAAGTTGCTCATTGCAGCAGAAGCAGCAATCAACACCAAGTGACCTGTCTGCTCTCTCCAGATCACAGATAAGAGAGTTCTTTATACTGAACATGCACATCTCTTCCATTTTAATTAAACCCCCAGAAAAAAAAAAAAAATACAGAAAAAAAATCATAACAATTAATGCCTTTTATTAAAATTTGAACAGAAACTTCTTCAAAGCTCTCATGTAGCTCACAGAATGGACTCTTCTACATTTCTTCTGTTACCAATGCCCTCAGTTGAGGTACTAGTCAGCAACTAATTAGCATGCAGTGCCAGGAGTAGCAGGTTTCCCAGCTCCAGCTCTTTGAGGTTACTTGCAGAGTCAAAGAGATGGACCATGTTGATTGCCTGGAGTTACATTTTACTCTGAAACTACCATCACTAAACATCAAGCAAAACCAAAGCATGACAAAGCACGACAAGGGAGGTCATCTGTGTGTCCCCAGCATGTGGCATAGAATGTGAAAGACTGCTCTTAAGTGGAAAGAAGATTTTTACTAGGTAGCAGCAAAAGCACATATTCACCAAGTTCTGCTTCCACCTAACAAGAGTATTCCTCACCACTGGCTTCAGCTGGCTTATTAATCAAGGAGAATAGCTAATATAATATTTCAAAATTACAATGTAAATGCTATTACTAGGAATACAGATAATGGGAAATAAGAACCTTTCTATAATCCCAATTCTGAATATGAAGGGAAGCCTCTAAGCATGTATGAAATAATGCAGCACTGAAAAGAGAAGGGAAATAGTTGAGTCCATATTCACACAACAGATCTAGAAAGGACTGCAGAATTGCAACACTAGGGATGATGTGTCAAATACTTCTCCCACTTTGTTTTCCCTGGCACAGCCTAGAAAAGCCAGTAAAGAACCCACTAGAGGCAGGCAAGAAGCAGAAAAACAACTCTGCAAGGCTTCAGCAGCAACAGGTACAATATGGTGAAAAGAGTCAGTAAAAAAATCCCTCCATAAATAAGACATAGGGCAATTTCCATATAGCTCCTGTAATCCATCACATACAATCAGGCCACTTTCCATGTAATGAGGGATAAATTATAAACACTGAGCCATGTTTTTTCACTAGCATTTGTACAGGTTCTCCAAACAAAAGCACTCTGTGTATAGAAACCTGGCACCCAAGTGCAGCGCATCAGCACACAAGTTTTTTAAACCAACAAAGGATTCAGTTCAGGGAAACACTTTCACAGTCCACCCCTTCCACATCTGCTTTTTTAACTTGACCAAAAAAAAGTAATAAGTTAGAATATTCCATGTTTCCTAAGGTGACAAAAGGTATTTGGACAGAATCAGTGAGAAGATTTAGAAATCCTGCTATCAGAAACTAACTACTGAGAATTTCCAGTTCCCTTTATACCCGCTTTAAAAGGAATCTCCCACTGGTGATGAATACAACTTCACATTCATTTTGATCCCAATTTCTCCCACCAAAAGGCTTTATGTGAAATTTTATTACCATCTCAAAAACAAAAATCCTTTGACAGGCCCAAAAAGAACCATCCAACATTGTCCTTGAACTGTAAACTTATCAGCAAACTGAGGAAGCGATTCCACAAGACTTCATTCATCTAAGCAGCCATTCAGTGAATCTCAAATGATGCAGCTGTATTGCTGGAAAGTTGGGAGGTTTTTTTAAAGGAAGTATCTGAAAGCCTCAGTTGTTAGGACTGAGCCTTCTGCATCTGAGAATCTAATTGTTTTTCCAACTTATCAAGACTATTCCCTAAATGCAGCGAGTGCTCCAAGTGCCTCTAGAAAAACCATTCCCAGTGCAGAATGGATAAATGTATCAAGAATTGAACTTAAACTCTCTACAATGTCATTACTAAAGAACACATACTTTTAATCCAAGTGTAATAAGTCATCTATCAATTCTGTCATTGAAACACTGCTACATTTACTCAAATTAAGTGCAACTCCCAATGTAATCAATGGTGCTAATGTAAATTCCTGCACAATGAAAGAACTGGAGCACCAGTAAGTGCAGACCCTTCTAGCAACATTGTGAGCATTTGGATCAGATTCAGCACAAATTTCATTTGACTTACTAAGTGTTTTCAGCTGAGCTTTGGGCTGAGACCACATGCAGAACATCTAGGGCTAGAAAATGTCTACATTGCAGCTCTAAAGTATGCAGGAATCCTCCTCCAGCAGCTGAAAGTCCAGCCCACATAAAAATATTGTCCTATATATACTTGTTGGTGATGCAGCACTGGTGACTAAAAGGAGGCTAAACACGGCAGCCTGCAAACCACGTTTGGAAACATCCAAGTGACAGCTTGTGTTTTCATATTTCACTTCTGTCACTGCCCCAACATCAACAACTGTAACGTCACCCACATCTTCAGCTGTATTTATTGTAGAAGGAGCTGCATGAGCTCCCTCACTTGTATCTTATTCTACCTTTAATCTATTTTAAAATAATGTATTTTTAATCTGTCCTACTTGGACTTAAGCTTCAAGAGCCTTTCCTGTACATTAAGCAGGCAGCTGCCCCTTCTTAGATGTTTTCTAATTTTGGAACAAGGGAGAATCATAGAATCAGAGAATGGTTTGGGTTGGAAGGGACCTTAAAGATCATCAGGTTCCAACCTCCCTGCCATGGGCAGGGACACCTCCCACCAGACCAGGCTGCACAAGCCTCATCCAACACAACCTCCCTGGGCAACCTGGGCAACCTGGGCCAGTGCCTTCCTACCCTCATGGGGAAGAATTTCTTCCTGATGTCTGACCTCAATCTCCCCTCTTGCAGTTTCAAACCATCACCCCTTGTCCTGTCACTGCCCTCTCTGGTGAAAAGCCCCTCCCCAGCTTTCCTGGAGCCCCTTCAGGCACTGGAAAAACTCCATCGCTCTCCTTTCTCACAAACAAATCAAAATTCATTCCACTCCCTATCACAAGCATGAGGCCAAATCTGGCTGCTTTTATTCCAGATGAATGGGAAGCTGCTCTTACTGAAGAATGTGAATGTACATTTATTTTGGACTGACTATGCCAGAACACATTTCCCCTGCCTCTAATTGACCTGATTTTACTTCTTACTCAAGTTTCACACCAACTTCTGAGAAAACCCCCAAGAGCTGATTGACTTCAGAACAATTTGAAATAAAAATGTTAAGAATGTCTTTTGTACCAAACAATTTCCTCAAGTCAAAATGTCCATGAAAACACAGAATGGGCCCAAGTTCTGGCACAGGCCAAACTTCCCCATTTGGAATTTCCTCCAGATACCTTCATACTAAGGAATTGACAAAAAGGTAATTGAAAAACACTACGCTGGTGCAAGTTTGCTAATGAGTAAATTACCTCAAAAGAACAATGTCATAGAGATTAAAAGCATACCAGAACCTACCTGTGCATATTCTTTCTCTATTGCAGCTCTTTTCTGACTGAACGCTCTGCAAGAGAAAACAAAAAACAACAAAATAATCTACTACTATATAGAGCAAAACATTACAAATTCAATCATTTCCTTAGAATGATGTTCTGCTAGACAGTCTTTATAGTTCAATGAGCAACAAAAAAAGCAAAATTGTTTGACAGCTGTGTATCAGTAGCCTAGCAACTACTGCATGAGGACTTCACATGTGCAGTCTCCAAATTTCTGAGTTTTATTGAATAAATGCAGTTCCCAGGACTACCAGTGTAAATACCATTTATTTCATTAAAGGCTCATCAACCTTCCCCTGGTAAAGCCTAGGGAAGAATTTGGTAGCACAGAACAGAATTTGGCTTAATGCATCTAGGCAGACTTACTGGTTCTTCTTCAGAAAAAGTTACAGAATGATAGAATATGTGGGGTTGGAAGGGACTTTTAAAGGTCATCTAGTCCAGCCCCCCCTGCAGTGCACAGGGACCTTTATGACTAGATCAGGTTGCTCAGAGCCCCATCAAGCCTGACCTTCATTGTCTCCAGGGATGGGGCCTCCACCACCTCTCTGGGCAATCTGTTCTAGTGCTTTACCACTCTCATTGTAAAGAATTTCTTCCTAACATCTAACCTGTATCTCCCCTGCTCTAGTTTAAGGCCGTTGCCCCTCATCCTATCGCTACACACCCTTGTAAACAGTCCTTCCCCAGCTTTCCTGGAGCCCCTTCAGGCACTGGAAGCTGCTCTCAGGTCTCCCTGAAGCCTTCTCTTCTCCAGCCTGAACACCCCAACTCTCCCAGCCTGGCTCCAGAGCAGAGCTGCTCCAGCCCTCCCAGCATCTCCAGGGCCCTTCTCTGGCCCCTCTCCAACAGCTCCATGTCTCTCCTGTGCTGAGGGGCTCCAGAGCTGGACACAACACTCCAGGTGAGGTTTTACCAGAGAGGCAGAATCACCTCCCTTGACGTGCTGGCCACACTTCTTTTGATGCAGCTCAGGGTGCGATGGGCCCCTGGGCTGCAAATGTACATTGTTTGCTCATGTCCAAGTCATGTTTCCTCAACAGCAACTGAACACACCAGATTCCTTGTTGGAGTCACAAGACAAACAGTTTGATTTACCCATTAACGTAGCAATATCCCACTTAACTCCACTGGTGCCAATCGTAGCACGTCATTCCACATCTACATCAGGACTTTACTCTCACGTAAGGGCTCCAGATGTACCACCTCAGCACATTTTAACATACAAGGTTCCAACACTACCACTGTTACAGCAGGAAGAAGGTTCAAATACCCAGATATATCAAGGCTCTTTGTTTTATAGCTTAAACTATGCCCTCTTTAGCTCTTGAACTGCCTAAGCAAAGTAATTTTCTTCAATCTATATTATAAACTACTAATCTTAAGGCTACACTGCCAGCAAAAGAAAACCTCATTCTATTTAAATAGAGCTGCACAATTACAGTGACATGTTAATAAACAAAACCTCAGGAACATCCTATAAGAAGGTTAACTCAATAAGCACCAACAAAAGCAGCTCTGAACAGGCTCTTTCTGCTCCTGTCTACTCCATTTCACCCACGAAGAGCATCCACCCGCTGACAGGGCGTTCCAGGCTCAGTCTGCCCCCCAGGATGTAAAACAAAAGTCTAAACACATCTTGATTGCTTCAAGTTCTTTCCAGATTAATGATAGCCCCAAAGAGCTGGCCAGATTCCAACTCCAACCATGACCTTCCTAAATCCCTCCCCCTGTAGCTCAGGTGGGTACAAAGGGCTGCACGACAGTGTCACACGGAACTCCCCTGTATGAACAGGTCTAAGATCCTACTTTGTAAAACAACCAATTCTCAGCTCATCTAATTTGAAAACATACAATCATAGGATCTAAATGTTAAGGATACTCAGTTTACACAAAAGCTGGATATGGAGCTGTATATTTCACCAGGAGACTGGGTTGTTTGTTTCCCCCCCCCATACAAAACAAACTCCACTTAAACTAATTGCAGAACAATAATTGTGGTAAACTGGAGGCCTAAGATATCCCCTCAAAACCTTCTACATGAAAAGGTTTACACTGGAAAAGAGAAACAAAGCAATCAACTGGCCCTAGAGTAGAATTACAAAATACCATGCAAATCAAATTTACTTGCAAAACCGACAGAACTCTAAGACTTGCAACAACTCCAGGCTCCAGCATGAAAAAAAAGTGCATCGTACAGTAGCAGCTCCATAAATCAGAAACACTTGAGAGCAGTTTTAGATTTTGTTCTGAATTTTAAATGGGGTTTTACAAAAAAAAGAAGTTGGCAAGACAGCACAGAATTCAATGTATACAATGCTCAAATTGGTGTTTGATCTGTGTTTTGGTGAATGGAAAAAACGGGAAGTGCTGCAAGAGCAGCAGGATCAGCCCCTTCATTCCCTGAAGCTGGTGTTCTCTGCTGCCTTGTGACTGCATCTCCCCTGCTTAGTCAAACACACAAAGCTGTTCATAACCTCAGGACAGTTTAATACAGGAATCTTTTTATGACAGCCATAAATACATCATGAAACACGACAAAATATGAGACTGACGTAGACAAATTTCCCAGGAGAAAGTTATTTTGAGCAGGAAAAACAAAAAGGCTAATAAATGCATCATAGGCTCTTAACTTGGGAAACATGAAAACTTAAACATACAATCATAGGATCTAAATGTTAAGGATACTCAGTTTACACAAAAGCTGGATATGGAGCTGTATATTTCACCAGGAGACTGGGTTGTTTGTTTCCCCCCCCCCCATACAAAACAAACTCCACTTAAACTAATTGCAGAACAATAATTGTGGTAAACTGGAGGCCTAAGATATCCCCTCAAAACCTTCTACATGAAAAGGTTTACACTGGAAAAGAGAAACAAAGCAATCAACTGGCCCTAGAGTAGAATTACAAAATACCATGCAAATCAAATTTACTTGCAAAACCAACAGAACTCTAAGACTTGCAACAACTCCAGGCTCCAGCATGAAAAAAAAGTGCATCGTACAGTAGCAGCTCCATAAATCAGAAACACTTGAGAGCAGTTTTAGATTTTGTTCTGAATTTTAAATGGGGTTTTACAAAAAAAAGAAGTTGGCAAGACAGCACAGAATTCAATGTATACAATGCTCAAATTGGTGTTTGATCTGTGTTTTGGTGAATGGAAAAAACGGGAAGTGCTGCAAGAGCAGCAGGATCAGCCCCTTCATTCCCTGAAGCTGGTGTTCTCTGCTGCCTTGTGACTGCATCTCCCCTGCTTAGTCAAACACACAAAGCTGTTCATAACCTCAGGACAGTTTAATACAGGAATCTTTTTATGACAGCCATAAATACATCATGAAACACGACAAAATATGAGACTGACGTAGACAAATTTCCCAGGAGAAAGTTATTTTGAGCAGGAAAAACAAAAAGGCTAATAAATGCATCATAGGCTCTTAACTTGGGAAACATGAAAACTTTCATGTGTGTCTATTGATTTTATGTGCAAAGCTGGGAAATTCTTGACCTTATTGTCATTTGAGATGGAATTTCAAGTTCATTCATACAAGGAAGTGTTTGGTTCCCTACGATACTAAAATGTTCTCTAACTGCTACTGAAGAGTCTTTAAGAAGTGAATTAGTGGGTATGCAGGAAAGCAGGAACATTATTTAGGGTTTCTTTAAACTAGGATATATTCATATCTGCTAGTGCATCTTTTTCTCAAATTCACCATTAAGTGCAAGCAAGAGCAGAACTGCATACCCAAAAACATGCCTTAGTTCTTGTTTCTGGACAGTAATTCCTAATGTCACCCCTATCCTGCAAATGTTCATTCATGCAATATGTTCATTCCCTTTGCTCTATGAAAAATTCAAAAGCATTGAGAGTTTTGGACAGCTGAAAGAGAGGGTGAGAAAGAACTACAAATCAATTCAACATTATTTGGTGTGTATAACCAAGGTAAGACCATTTTTTCCTGTAAGTATGAAACCTGCCACAGTCCTCACAGTGCAGGAAAATCCTGACTTCATCTTCACAAAAAAAAAAAAAAGAGAAAACCAATAAACGTACACTCACCATCAGGACAAGAAGCCACCATTTAAAAGAAAAACTGTTCTATGACATTCAGAGTGTGAGCAGGGCCTGCTTCCAGGGCAGAGGGCTGCAAACCCCAAGGAAAAGTCACACTCAGGGAAGTTATTTCAGTGGTTTCAATAGAGATAATTTCACACTGAGGGGTGATGCTACCCACAGCATTTCCTCACCCGCTGCTGCCCACAGCCCCTTCCGTGGTTTACAGGCTCCCTGTGACTAGAATGAACCTAATCCTGGAGGGATTAGGAAGCACAAACAGCTAGAGAAGCTCTACAGAGAAGGGGTGTCTGGCTCTGAACTGTCAGCAATTGGCCACATCTGGTCAAAAGCAGAGCAGTGAGGTGAGACAACAGTCGCTCTTAAGGTCATTGTGACGACTAGGACTAAATGAGGAGTTGGAAAGGACTTCTCCTTCAGATTAAAAACTAATAAATAGCTCTGAAGAGGAGGGTGGTGAAGATTTTTCTGCTGTGTTGCAGGAATTCATCCAACTACATCACCTCCTTGCATTCCTCACTGAGCACTGAGCTGGGATACCACACTCCAAGGTGTGCTTTGTTTGCTGAGGTAGGAAATTCTTCAGTCTTCATTGATAGGTCCTTATGTGACAAAGAGTATCTGGATGAATGTAACAATCTGTCATATTAAAAAAAATTAGATTACATGATCTAACTTCTCCTTGGGCTCTGCAGAACAGTGGCAACATAAGAAGCAGGGAAAGGAAACTACACTGATTGTCATCCTTGCTTTGCCGATACTATTTTTGCTAGTGTCAAACAGTCACTATCACTGCAACTTCCCACATGTGAATTCCAGCAACTGTCAGGCATTTAAATCACTCCTATCTATCATTAATTAAAAACAAACAAAATGAAAAGATGCTATGAAATATTCAGATATACTTTAACAATGTGAAGTAACGGGTCAGGTC